TCCAAACAACAATCCAAGTCTCCATGGCTACAGTGTTCTCATGCTGTCCAAACAACAATCCAAGTCTCCATGGCTACAGTGTTCTCATGCTGTCCAAACAACAATCCAAGCCTCCATGGCTACAGTGTTCTCATGCTGTCCAAACATCAATCCAAGTCTCCATGGCTACAGTGTTCTCATGCTGTCCGCACAATATAAAACTCTATTCTTATAGTGTCCCGTTGCTGTCCATGAAATGATTTACATCTCCACAAGCTTGTCTATGCTTCTGGCTCAAAACACCCTAAGCAATGATAATGACTAGCTTCCCCATTGGAAAGACACCTTGTTAGGGTAAAGCCTGGTAAACACTTGAAATGGCAGTGTTTATTTATTTTGCATGTATATATTTCATTATTATGCAGTTTTCCAGCTGTTTAACAAGGTGGACAAAAATGAAAATCTTCAGTGTACCCAAGAGTCACAGCTGTTGACACGTTATGGTGGGTAACCACAGCAGCACACTGCACTGCAGATTTCATAATTCAGTCCGTCTATTCCAGGCACTGTAAGCAAGGCTAAATGTGCCACCTGTCTGGAGCCTTGAGAGAGCATCAGGGAGGAGGGGCTGACATGTAGGTTTCAGGAAGGTCACCAGACCCCCCCCCCCCCCCCCCCCCCCCCCCCCCCCCCCGGGGGGGCGCCCACCCGACCCCCGGGGGAGGAAGGGGGGGGGGGGGGGGGGGGGGGGGGCTGAGGAAGACAGATTCAGTGAGGCTGAGAGAGCACGTGGGAGAGAGAGAGAGGAGTCGGCTTGCTCGGAGCGGGATTCCTGGAACAGGAATAGCGATTCCGCACTCCTGTTCTACGGCACAAAGCCGGTAAACGCGTGTCTGCCGGGGGGGCTGGGTGCGAGCCCTCACTCGGTGAGGATGGCACCGTCAGCCATCGGATTGGATGCGGAGATGGCGAGCGAGCGGCAGCATCAAGGTGAGCAGGCCAGAGCAGCTCTGAAAAATACGACAAGGAAGCACAACGAGCGGCGGGAGAGCGGTAATGCGCCGGTTAGTCCTGACAGATTGCCTTGAGCTCCCCCCACCCCGCCTCACAGTGCATGGAAGACTGACTTTCTTTGTGGTGCAGGAAGAGGAACGATCTCCAAATGAGAGCGGACAAAACCCAGCGGAGACATCGCTTTAGAGGAGGAGAAACATAGGAGTCATCACGGTGCAGCACGGCGCTCTGCGGCCACAGGTTTGTGCACGAGGGCCACAGTGACACTCGTAACGAAGTGCTTACGTTTAATTAACGCTGTGCTTTTGCACTCAACTTGGTGCGTTTTTAATCCCATCGCTAACCTCTGTAGCAGTGCGGAAAGACAATGAGCGAAGACAGCATGCCAAGCACTGCTCTCTGATTGGTAAAAAACAAAAGGGCGTGGAGGGAGGCGACCGACCAATAGGACGAGCAGAACATGGCTCATCACCCCAAACGCCAGCTAGGGTGAGCAGTACACAGAGTTACTGCTGGGCTGTGGCATTCACTGAGACCCAGAGAATACCCCCCGAGGCGGCCATTTTTATTGTGTTAAATGAATCACCAGCTTCACAGCTGCTCCCCCTTCCTTTGCTGTTTTTTTCATACAATAAGCCAGCTGCACATCGCACCAGAGCGAATCAGGTTAAGTACTTTGCCCAAGGGTACAACAGCATGGTCCCTTGAGATGTGACCTAGTAACCTCCTGGTGACAAAGTTGCCCTCCTAACCGACACAGATTCCCGGGCTTTTAATTCAGCCACCCGAGTCAGAGAACCATGCCCCCCCTTCCTACGGCTGACTCAGCGTGACACCGGAAGGTGATGAAGTCTCGTAATAAAAGCTGGACTGGTACCAAAAAGAGAGCCGCCAGATGAGAGCTGCTGAATGCGCTGTGTTTGTCCCCCACAGGCCTCTGTTGTGATTAGGAATCCATATTTTTCCATAAATTATCCCCCCTCCCCACTGTGCCACTGTTCAAGTCAATGGTGTTCAATCAGTGCTTCCCCCAGACCCCCCTGCGACTGCGATGCACTAACCTCGGGCCTCCAATGGTGAGGCGGGCATTGGCACGAGAGGCCGATGTGCCCCCCCATCCCCGGCCTCCACCCGGTCCCTTTAAGCATCCCATCCCCATTAATTACGGCAGCCATGTGATTCCTGTGTCAATATCCGAAACCTTATAGCTCACACTTTCAATTAGTTATCGACCAGCCGCTGGGCGATAAATCTCCTCTATTCTGGGAAGATCTCTGTTATTCTCCTCGTATCACATGTCCCGCGCAGCTTGTTTTATCTGAACGCGCATCCCGAGTAACGGGAGCCGTTCAGAGGACGCCTTCGCAAAGATAGTGGCCGGGGGGGGGGGGGGGGGGCGCTGGATGAGGGTGCTGTGGCCGCCCAGTCCCCGGTGACGCATGACACGGGCAGGCCTGCTGCCAATCTGGAGCTTCCCCCTTCGTACTCTGCTGAGGTCTATATACATTGATTTCCTTTCCTCTGGTCAGGACCCACTGTCTTTAACCACTTACACAGGACACACTCATCCAAAGCCCCCAATCCCCGAGTCTCTCTGCGATCGCTTAGTCACTATGGTGTTGGAGCCCTGATGCACCAGACTTCTTGACTGAGGCACTCGGACAAACCAACCACACAGATATTTAAAAGCGAACGATGGCAGCATTTAGCCAGTGACGTTTTTCGTGGCCCTGAAACACGAGCCACATTGACAGCGTGTCCGTAAGTCTGCACTCCGACACCACTACGATTGTAGCGTTCATGTCGGTGCCGAGCTAACAGTCCTCGGAATACACAGGGAAATATAATTTGTTCAGTCCAGTGTGATCCCATGAGGGAAGTAGTGGTCTCAAATGATGGGGTGGGGCCAGGGAAGGAGTGGGGTCGTTTGAAGGGGCGGAGTCGTTTGTAGGGGCGGGGCCAGGGAAGGGGTGGGGTCGTTCTAAGGGGTGTGGCCAGGGAATGGGCGGGGTCGTTTGAAGGGGTGGGGCCAGGGAAGGGGTGGGGTCGTTTGAAGGGGCATGGCATGTGGCTGGTTACCTATGCAGTAGCAGAGCACCACGGACAGGAGCACGGACACAGCCACGGCGCTCAGGGCGGTACACCTCCAGGAGCACATCTTGGAGGACTTCTTGAACTTGAAGGCACTCCTGGAGAGTGTGTTGCGGGGCAGGGGCCGGGTGGGCGGGGAGTACACGGCCCCGGTCGCCATGGTGTAGCCTGGGGTTGCCGTGCTGAAGAGAGGAGTCGTGCCGGTACCTGTCTTGAAGAGAAAGTGCCTGAGAGAAAAAGGAGAAACGAAAGAAATTCACATCGATTAAGGCATTCAGATGACAAGGATGACACTTTCATTATAAAATACATCCGTGGGGACACAAACAAAGTGTCTCAGAGTGACGCCGACGTGCCCCCCCACTCCCCCCCCACCCCCGTTCTCCATTCCTACCTCTCTCTTACAAATTATATAGTAATAAAACAACAGAAGGCTTATTCCTAAATCCCCCACTGCCCTCCAGTAAAACTATGATTGACTAATAGACCAGGGGGCCTATGGTAATTAACGAGGTCAGCTATTTTAATCAAATTCATTAGTTGGCTGCTTTCTATTAACTTCTGCACCCCTGTGAGAGGCGCCGTCGCTGATGGAGGGGAGGAGAGGTTTAAAAAAAAAACCTTGGCGCCAGTTGGGCGCTATGCTCCCGCAAGCACGGCTAGCGGCCCAATGCGGGCCTTAGTGGCCAGGTCCGGCGACGAACGGCGTCCCTCCGCGGTGTAGGAACGGCCCTGGAGGGGGCGCTGGGGAGACGAGCGTCTGCATGAGCTGCCGCCCTTGTTAAAAGCACTCTGATTGCGCGCCGCTTCACGCTGTTCGGAGATGTGCTCTCATTTCTTCCTTTTAATTGTTTAAAATCGTTCCCATATGAAAGTGAAAAGAGCTCTTTGGACACACTCAGCTAGTTTTGGCTTTGTTTATGTGCCAAGCTGAGGGCCAGCAGATGCCCCCGCACGCCACGTGGCGCTAAGGGCCGGGAATGAGGGCCCGTCACGGCCGCGCCGTCAAAGACGAATTAAACGCAATTTTACGTGTGGCTCCTATATTACAGAGCAGGCTGACGTCTTAATGAGGCTGTTTGCGGCGTGTTAAATAAGACAGCACCCAAATTCTGAATTACTTATTGAAGACAAAGCATTTCAATCAATAAGACAATTTGTGAGACAAGGATGAAATATGCGGCTTTATGATAATTAGAAAAAACCCATCAGGCTGTCATTATTATCTGTAAGCCATTTAAGTAATTAAACTTTTGAAATGGTTTATCTCCAATACAATGCTTACCACTCTTACGCTGTTAACTTTATCTTGCCCTGTGATCACTGACGAATGATTTAAATTTCCACATAGTGTAACATGAAACTGGCAGCTTCTTCTGTTAAAATTCAATTAGTTGTCAGTCAATAAGGTTTAATTATCAGATTCTTTTCCTGCATCACGTCACTGCAGGCTGGGTGGGTGTGGCACCGGGAGGTTCCAGCAGGGGGGGGTGCTCTGTTACCTGAATGCCCCTTTTGGAATGTTCTAGGTATAAGCTGAACACACTCTCTGTGTTTCAGCTGCTCATCTGTAAGCAGTAGAACGTCTCACCTGGGGTCAGGTGACTAATCAGACAAATGTACTGAATTTAATGCCTTTTTGAATATACTGTATAGTTGTCAACTTTCTGAATCAAATGAACCAAAATAAGGACCCAAAAATTGCATGGAGTGAAACTCTTAACACTGAAGCGTCGCCTCTTAAGATTCACAGGAAACGTGCGAGTTTACAGCAGCTCCACTCGCCCACCTAAAATCCCGGCTGAAACACAAAGGGTATTATNCGCCCAGCCGAACAAACAAAGCAAACAGAACCAAGAACAATGGGAAGAGAAGGGGGATCTGCAGCGCCGCGTGTGCCGGGTTGGCGCCGACACCGGCCTCATGCAGACACTCAGCAGAACGTACCCGTCCTCACAGCCGCCATCGTGGCACGCCGGAGTGAATACGTCCATCTCTATAAGGCTCTCGTGCCCGTTTTCGAACACTGCTTGCTTTGCTAATTTTCTACATGTGGGGGGGAATGAGATATAGAGACACAAAGTTAGGGGGTTTGTCATCTAGGTCATCAACCCCCTCCCACCCCCGCCCAACCCTCCCCTCCCCCACCCCACAATTCCATGCCATAGTACATCCTGCATCCCAGCTCACAGTGCAGTTCCTATTAACAGAACCCGATTTCACAAACATTACCAGCAGCACCAATTCACACCACTGTTACCATACATGGAATCAATAACAAGCTTCATCAATATCTGTAGGTCTGGGATACTGGAAACTCTGCAGCCTGTTATTTGCTGTTATTGGGTTATTTGCTGTTCAGATCATTGCAGGAATCTTCGGGCAAAGGGTTCTGAAGACAAAACGACGGCCCAGTGGACCAGGCGTGAACCGGTGCCGCGCACCACAACACCTCTCTGGTGTCCTGTTGCTGTCATCGGTTGTGGACCCAGCTGTGGGGATGCTTGCAAATGCTCACGTGCTAGGATCGCTGAGGATGGTTTTAGAGTACAAAGCTTCTGTGGAAAGATCCGGGGGTATAAATGACAGGATGAAATTCTGCACGGGCGCTGAACGGTTTGGGCTACACTTACAGGAAAAACAGGATGCAGAGCTTACGCTCTGGCTGACCACAGCGCTTACGGTCAGGCTCAGGCACAGTGAGGACCCAAACGACCCAGCGGACCGCTGTCTCCCTGATTACAAGAGCCCCGTCCATCGGGGTTAAGCCTGAAGTTCTGCCTGGACCGGAGTTTCTGCCACCAGACAGTCCGCACCGGATCACGAGATCCCGCCGGGCCAATACCATGAGATACCTCTGTTATCCAGTGAAAAGAGCGAAGAGAATCCATCGATTTTGTTTCTAATCCTCGGCTCACGCCTCTCTCAGTACAATCCAACACCCTTTCCACAGCTGGAACTCCAGAGCCCCGCAGACACTGCATGGCCAACAGGCAGCCTGACCTCAATGCCCTTGCCAACCCGATACTGGATCTCGGCGCCTCTGGTATCACTGTAGACATACCCCCGGGCTCAGGGCAGGGCTGAGGAAACAAGTCAGACAACTCAGACCAAATGATAAACAGTGCATCCAACGGTACTTGTGATGAATGCCGGAATCGCTAAACAAGAAACTGGAAAAAATGGGATGCTGGCGCTGGAAGGTAAACGGGACGGGTCAGCGGCTGGGAAAGAAGCAGCAGGACGGCGGGCGTAGTGGGGAACAGGAGAATGCTGAACAGCTTCCAGTAACAGTTCGGTAACAAAAACATGCTGACGTGATGGGATTTTCATAGAGCCACCCACAAAAGGCCCGACTGGATCGGCATGCAAACCATTAGCGCATACTCCCCCCCCCCGTCAGATGATAAAAAGGTAATATTGCGCTTGGGGACGTTAGATTTGTTGGATATGAATCATATTTATCTGTGTTCATCTGCCATAAAAGGGTAATAAGTGACAGAGCCGCGCAGTGTATATGTGCCCAAAATGACTGACTCAGGACCTGGCCGCTGCTCTGTGGCCATACCCTCAGAGACATGCAGCCCTTCTGCGGCCAAACTGACTGCAAGGCCGCTGTGGGCCGATTAGAGATGGCATGAGGCTCAACGGGAAATTACTGTTCTAATCCTTGGTGCCCCTTTTCACACTGATCCGTGTGGAGCAGCGCCACTAGAACTGTCCCCATACGAAAAGTCCACATCTTCCCTTTGCATCACATGAGGAAGAAACCCAAAGAGATTACGGGCTGTTAGCAATAAGCATTAAAATGCAAGCCTCGCGAAGGGGACAGCTGCATCCCTGGCCGCTGCTGCGGGAAATGAACACGTCTCGGAGACACCAGCTTCTCCAAATGCTCCATGTACGAACATGTGTGCAATCTGTCACTTCAGTGTCTGGCATTGTGCTATTTACATACCCAGAGTGATTAATGTTGGTGTGTGTTGGTGTTCTTACTTTCTACCAATTAAAGTGAAGTTTCTCTGCTCAAAGCAGAGGGATGCTGTAGCACCTATGGGACACCACATCTCTCTATATTTAAGGCAAAGCTGGGAAGTCAGAAAATGCAATCGTCCAAATGTCCACAAACACAATCTTCTCTAGCTGCACACAAAACAATCCAGGCTTCCATGACTAGTATTCTCATGCTGTCCAAACAACAATCTAAGTCTCCACGGCTACAGTGTTCTCATGCTGTCCAAACAACAATCTACTGTAAGTCTCCACGGCTACAGTGTTCTCATGCTGTCCAAACAACAATCTACGTCTCCACGGCTACAGTGTTCTCATGCTGTCCAAACAACAATCTAAGTCTCCACGGCTACAGTGTTCTAATGCTGTCCAAATAACAATCCAAGAATCTATGGCTAGTGTTCTCATGCTGTCCAAACAACAATCTAAGTCTCCACGGCTACAGTGTT